AAGTTGAACATTTCTCAACTTTTGCAGCGAGCTACGCCAGCAAAGCTCCGCTTCCCACAATGCAGTTCGGCGAAAAGTGACGTCACCCCATTCAAGTGAATGGTGAAGCTTTCAACGCATGCCGCTGTGTGGACGGGCCGTAAGTGATCCTTCGTTAGCGTGAAGAGTCTGCTAAGCTTTATGTGCTCCGCAGTACCCGAGCGTGCTCCACTAGCACCCCCTCCCCTCCCGGTTAACAACTTCAAAATGCTGGGCTATATATAAAAATCGCTGGCCTGCGAAAGTGTCTATTGGATACATTTTGGCCCTTGGACAAATGTAGTAGGTGTTCCCTGATCTACAGGCTAGTTGTGAATGGAAGACTGCACAAAGTTGAATGAATACATCTAAAAAAATTCTAGCCGGTAAACAAGATCGTTGCTTTTGAGAGTATAGGAAAACAATTTGTACTTGACTTAAAATATCACACTTTAAAAATTCTACTTAGAGCCTCAATTTAGACTAAATAAAGCAGGCTTCCCGAAAAACCACAATAGAGTCACAGCACTAGGAACTCACCACTCACTGCAAAGTTATTTGCCAGGCGTTTCTTTATCGAAGTGAAGCTACCATCAATCAAATTAGCCAATAATACCATACCATGTAATAACCATTAAGGATGATGTGATCCACAGTAACAACAGTCTTTCACAAAACAATCTGAGGAGGTATCTTATCTTTGGTTTGAGATTAAAAGGTAGGTAAGAATGGAGAAACCAGCTCGAATGCGCTAGAATTTGAAACTACGCAGCCGAAAATCTGCCCCTTCCTTCAGACTTCCTTACAGAGCCCCTCCTCCAACACACGAACGCGCACATGACCAATGAGGGCACGAGATACATTTGGCTCGGCTCTCTTAAAAGCGCCGGCTGTTTCGGCTCCCAAACGGCTCTTCATGTTACCACAGTTTACCAAGGAGCCTCAGTATCGCCGCTGCGAGGCTCCAGCTCACGCGCGTGCTCCACTAAAACCGTGTGTCCGTCAAGGAAATCTTGGCCGGCAGCTATCATGGTCTGAAATGACCCATGGACATCGAGAAATCACTAAGGACCTACCCACCAAGTAAAAAAAAACATAAACCACGTGTCTCCCATCAGTTTACGTCTGTGAGGAGAGAGAGACAGAGAAAACGGCTAAAAAAAACGTTACAGTTGCCGACTTCGCTAGAGATTTTTTTCGCTAGCAGCAGTGAAGATAGAAGAAGAAGAATACAAAGACAACAACAAGGATCCATTTGGACTTGGGTAAGTGTAAATATTACAGTAATAGTGTACTGGCAATGTGTGGGGAATACCGCGAAAATGAACAATAGGTTTATTGATATATATTTTTTATCGATAGTCATGAACTTTTTCTTGGGACAAAATAGACTCCATTAGCAAACGTTTACTCTGTGTTAACGTTATTTTGGTGTGTAAAAGTGAGATTACATGTGTAGATGATTAAGTATTCGTCCCACAACGGAGACATTTACAGTGGCTATAGACATGTTTTTGCCATCGATTATGTTATCATACTGTTCTGTACAGATGAGACTTTGTCATAGATGTATTTATATGTGTGCCTGTTATTATTTTACCGTCCTGTACAGATGAGACTTTGTAATCAGATGTAGCCTATGTGTGTCAGTGATTTTATACTGAATGTAAGTAACTGGAAATACCTGTGTGTGTATATGTGTGAGAGAGTGTGTGTGAGAGAGAGAGAGAGAGAGAATAGAGGGGAGAGAAGAGTGAGGAGCCGGAGGATTGGAGAGAGAGAGAGGAGGAGACGAAAGATTGGATGAGACGAGGAGGAGAGCGAGAGAGAGAGGAGAGACGATTGGAGAGAGAGGAAGAGGGAGAGGAGAGAGAGAGAGAGACTCCTGTTCAACCTCCCAAACTTTCTTTTTTATGTGTGCATTGTTATTTGTGCTTGAGCAACATTTTACTTGAACTTTATTTCAATGAAATTTGTTGTAATTATTGTCCTACATTTTAATTAGTTTTACAGAGAGGTTTCACAGCTGCCTGGGCCTAGTGGCCCACAGGCGGCGTTTATCCAGCAGCCAGAACATCCATCTGTGCCGGCCCCCAGGTCAAGATCTACTGTGGCTCAAGGGCCTTCACCAGAGCCATCACCACCAAGGACCAGCAGACCATCATCACTACAGCTGCCTCCACCTCCATCTGCGGATGCCACCTGGTCAAGATACACCTCAGCACAAAGGCTCCACCACAGCCATCACCTTCAACCCAGCCAGCAAGGAGGTCTCGTGGAGGTCTCGTATAGCACTTGTACCCCCCACTTACACAGCAGCCCATGCACCATCACCCCCATCTTCACAGCAGCCAGACCCACAAAGACCTTGACACTGTCTTGACATGTATAATGAATAGTTGGTTGAAAGTTATGATGTTCAATATTGTAAATAGTGAGATTTTCCAGTTTCTTATATTTATATAAATAGTTGGTTGAAAAAAACATATTTCTATAATAAATTGTTGGTTGAAAAAAAGTTTGAATGCTCAATTTGTATTTGTACACATCACATGAACCTTGGTATGTAATATGAAGTCATTATTCAGTCCTAATGTATCTCAGTCCCTGCTGTGGCGAAAGTAGAGTGATAAACACCTATTTTACTCAAAATTCTAATTTAATTTTTTTCATTTTAGACATGAATAACACATTTATATTAGTGGTGCACGATAATTATCTGTCCGATATTAGGAATTATGACGTCATCCCGATAAACCCGATAACAGTATTAATAGCCCCGATAATATACAATATATTTTTTGGGTAAAAAAAAAGAAAAAAATACTGCGTTGTGGGTGGATTGGGATGAGGGGCGCTTGTTTTTTTACAAATCCAGCGCTCCCTAACTCATGCCTGGCTGTGACGTAAATGGTGTGCGGCCGTGAAGCCAGGACAGTAAACAAACATGTCGCCGGTAGTATGGGACTATTTCAAGTTTCAGAGTTAGATAATTTCGCTTGCTATTTGTATTAACAAATGCAATGCAGAAGTTCCACGAGGAGGGAAAAAGACAACGAGCTATAATACTTCCAACCTGATTAGTCACCTGAAACATCGCCATCGCTACGATGGTGTGTTAAAAGCGTACGAAGACGCCTGCGCTGCTAAACTAGCGGCGAATCCAAAGCTAGCTGCAAAGGCACCGGGGCTTTTACCTATCGACGAGGCTTTTGAAAAAGGCAAGAAGTTTGCCAGAGACGACCCCAGGGCTAAAACGATCTCTAACTTCATCATAGAAATGATGGCGCTTGACGAGAGTCAAAACTGTTCTTGGCTTTGTTTTATTCATAGTAGTAATGCTCATGTAATTTGCTCACTACTAGTCTTTTTTTTACCACCAGGTGTGCAAAAACTACAGGTACATTTAATATATATTATATTATATTATTATCGGTTATCGGTATCGGTCTTGAGAAGCAGGAAGTTATCGGTATCGGTTTCAAAAAAACAATATCGTGCATCCCTAATTTATATACAGTGTAATTCATATATTTCACTGCTTTTGTGATCCTAAGACTTTGGTAACCAAATCTAAAACGCCAAAACAATTTGATCACATGAGTAAATTTGTGTTTTCACAAGAGTTTTGAAGATTATCCGAAAATCGGATGTCAAATGTTAAGCTTTTGAGCTACTTATCTATGGAATGCCATTTAAGCCAAAATTAATTAAATAAATACATATATATAAATATAGCTATGAAATAAATTCTAAAATAAATAAATTAGGCAATAAATATGTATACATGTACATTTGAATACACATTTATTTATTTCATGGGACTTTTATTTCATAATGACACATTTATTTATTTCAAGAGACTTTTATTTCATAATGACACATTTATTTATTTCAGATGACTTGTATTTCATAATGACGCATTTATTTATTTCAAGAGACTCGTATTTCATAATGGCGCATTTATTTACTTCATGTGACTTGTATTTCATGATGAGACATTTCCATTTCTTATATGCAAATGAACGGGGCATGGTTAGCTCACAGATCCAGACCAAAGCAACAGCACCACAACACTGACTCAATAGCTTTTGTTTCACACTCCAGTACTCTTAAGTGGTTTGCAAACTGCCAATAAACCAAACCGGTTCAAGAACCATTCCTGTGCTTTTCTGGTGCTTAACTGGTTCTTCGCTGGTCTTATCTGGTCCGCCCAATGTTGCTCTTCTGAGAGCAACCGCTCTGACAGCTCTCTCTAGTCTCTACTGGGAAACAGCTAAAAGTCCTTCTGGAGGGCAAGCAACGCTACACAATTACACCCAGTCTGAGAATAAAATATGTCTCGAAGGTTCGTTTTGCTTTTCTTACAACGTTAAGTTAATGTAACGTAACCTTACGTTTGCTAGGAGGCTATTGTTACGAGCTAGCTGTCTTAGTTAACAACAGTTAGCAGCTAACGTTTTCTGCAGTTTGTGTTGCCCCTGAAAAACGTGATGTAGTTATTTAAGGGTATGTTAAATTAACGTTATTTTACAAGTTGAGAGTTAAGTTGTGTTTAAAATCGTCAATGTAATGCACGTTAGAGGTTTTTAGTTGGACATGAAGTTAGCTAACTCTACCAGGTTAGCATGTTAAGCTGTACTTTCTGTGGCAGCTAGCTTAATACAAAGAGGGGTTTTGTGCTTCATTGCAAACGTTTCTTTGTTAATCTACCTGAAACTGTAGGGACAGTTTGTTTCTACTCAACTATACAGACCATTGTTGAGGAGATGCAAAACATACTGTACATGAGTTGGGTCCAACATATACCTTGAGTAATGTTACTTTGCTGCTAAAAATGAAACATCATTATCAGATGAGGACATCACCAAAGTGTGTGAGCCTGTCAGGGGATTTGATCTGTTCTCTGCATGTCCTAAACACTGCTTTGGTATTACTTATCTTGTAAAATGTAAGTCTCGCTCTTGTCATCGTTCAGGCTTTGCATTTGAACTCCTATGACTGGTTGCGGACTTGAAGGGAACGTCTTCCTGACATCCAGGAAAAAGGTGAGATTATAATACATTTGAATGCCAAAAGCAAGTTATTGTTTTTAACTTTTTAAATATGATTGTTTTGGGGCATTTCAGTTTTATTGGACAGAGGCAGTAGATATCTACTGGAAACAGTGGAGAGGGAGGAGATGATATGCAGCATACGGCCCAGCCGGATGGTTGCTGCTCCGTGTGGAACGTGTTCTATCAGGTAAAGCACTTTGGTACCCAGTTATTTATGGTATTGAGTTTGAATTTAGCTTTTGGAATGTAATTTCCAACAGTGCATTGTAAAGACTGAAAAAACAGCCTCAGGTTAAAGCTTGACATGATTTGGTCTTTTACTTAAGAGGATGTTTGTCCTCCTGTGTTGTCTTATTTCCTTATCTTTCTTTCAGGTGTAACATCTACCAATGGTTGTACATGACAGAGACCTCCTCCACCTCTTTGCTGTCTTACTAGTCAATCCTTCTGATCAGGTCCTTTCCTAAATAGTGGTAAGTTTTACAGTTCAGTGTACGTTAATTTAGCAACTTAATGCTTTACCGCTGTTGAATAAATCCTATATTGCTAGTCATTTTATTAAAACTACGATTTGTAAACTTTTTGATTCCAATTACAATAATATTTTTGTTATAATTGTAAAACATATCTTAACATCCATCAGCAATCAATACAACAAATCATCCAACACTAAATAGAAGAAATCTGGACCTATTTCTTTTGATACAGCAGCATGTTTTGGGACTGCTCATTGATGTCATCAAGTGCTATATAAATAGTTATACTAATTTTATTGTTGTTACCATCATTACTATTATTAATAATGTCTTCTTTGTTTTCTTTATTCATCGCTGCAGAAAGGATCATGCCAGCCCACATCAAACACCTGATCAAGAACTTGTGAACCTCACTGCTGCGGACACCTGTGTGATATTCGACTCTGACTGGAACCCTCAATATGACCTGCAGGTACGATATATATATATATATTAGGGCTGTCAAGTTAACGCGTTAATAACTCCCTTAGGGATAAGGTGAGAAGTTCGGTCATCAGGGAGGGACTCGGAGTTGAGCCGCTCCTCCTTCGCGTCGAAAGGAGCCATTGAGGTGGTTCGGGCACCTAGTTAGGATGCCACCTGGGCGCCTCCCTAGGGAGGTGTTCCAGGCACGTCCAGCTGGGAAGAGACCAAGGGGTAGACCTAGGACCAGGTGGAGGGATTATATCTCTTCGCTGGCCTGGGAGCGCCTTGGGATCCCCCAGTCAGAGCTGGTTGATGTCACCAGGGAAAAGAAAGTTTGGGGCTCTCTGCTGGAACTGCTACCCCCGCGACCCGACCACGGATAAGCGGGAGAAGATGGATGGATGGATGGATGGTTTGGCTTTATGAAGCAGGCACGCAAACGGTTACGTCATGATGCAAACGATGACGCAAACGATGACGCAACGACGCATTACCAGTCGGACTCTGGGCGGTGTGAAAAGAGCCAGAGCTAAACCGAAGAACTGGTTCTGAACCTGAAAAGCTCTAGCACGGAGCTTGAACCGGAGTTGCGTTGGTGTGAATGAGGTAAATGAGGTATCAGTGGCGGCTCTGACGAAAGGGGGTCCTCCCTCCTCGAGTTCTTCTGTGTCTGATATCGCGTAAATCAGAGGATTTAGACGTTGTGTGTTCATTGTATAACTCCATACGCCTTTTCTCCTCGTATTCTCATTCATGACTTTTTATTTAATCCATTTTAACGGCTGTAATCCTTGTTAACGTAAAACCGGAAGTTACTTCATTGTTGACAACGGAGACGCCTTTCAATAAAGCTTTTCAAAATAAAACTACATTCATTTAACATTCAGCAATGACGTTACCCACAAGCTAATGCTAACCGGAAATGAAGTATTTTCAGAATAAAACAGCTTTGAGCTTACAGCATGTTTAATCTATTATCTAAATTACGTAATTTAAACATTGATTTTAATTTCTTACACTAGCAATTACAATGCTAGTATTACTAGAAAATGCTAAACCAGTGCCGTTGCCGTGAGTTTCATCATCAGGAAAAGCACCCACCGTTAACGTTACCGCAGCCTGACAGAGAAGCCATTTAAAGCTAAAATGCTCACCAGATAACTTCATCTGCCCACGGGTGTGCTAATGGCTACATAGTGAAGTAATGATAGCCTGGTGTCTCACCTGCAGTACTGAACATATTATGCTTCCATTCCGCTGCCTCGCTTGGTGTCAGGAAGCCTCGCAGCACGGGGAGCTCCACGTCCAGCGGCATCACTGAGCCCTCTGTAGCCGGCCGAAGAGAAGCGACAGCGGGAGCCTTCAGTCTGAACGGTCCCGGATCACAGCCGGAGTGGAATCGCGTTCTTAATGAGCCAAGTCGGTGTTTCTCAGTCAGAGATATTATGTTTATTTCCACACATGTGGTGCAAGTGCCATCAGTGAGCAGCCATGACAGATGCGCGTTGCATTGTGGGAGATCTGAGCAACTTGCACAGGGATGCTGGGATTTTTTTAAATTCAGTCATGTAGCGCCATGAATCATGATGTAGATGGGCACGCGATCAGAGTTAGAACAAGTACTCAGACTTAAGTAAAAGTAACATTATAACAGTTAAAAAATATACTTTGTTACAAGTGAAAGTCATGCATTTAAAATGTTACCTAAGTCAAATAAAAATAGTATAATCGCTAAAATGTATTTTAGGTACCAAATGTAAAAATACTCATAATGCAGGATGAACCATTTAAACTCCATATATATATTCAATGATTGTATTAACTTATATAAAAAAAAAAAACTTGATTTCAATTATTGATACATTAAGTAATGTGTTTACCACTTGGTGGGTTTCATTTGAGATACTCTATTTAGATTGATTGGGAAAATATTTATCAGTAGCAGCAACGTGTTCAGGCATTAGAATGTCAACATTTTTAAATTCAATGAGGTCCAGTTAGAGAAAATCTCCCCATGCAAAGGTCCGGAACATCAAAATGTCTAAGTTGCTTTATGAATTTGTGTGATATATTAAAGTAGCCTGTAGCTTTATCAATGTCTGCATGTAATCAACAACTGACTGCCAATCAAATAAAGATACAATTCAAAAACAACAATATTTATTGTCAATTAACATTGAACTATACAGATATACAGTAAATACTGTGGATATGTGTAATGTTCCTCTCATTTAAAAATAAAAGAGAAAATAAATAAAATATCTTTTGAAAATATGTGCATCTTAAAAGTGCTTAATTTTAGATAAATAAAATAAAGTGTAGCAGCAGCTTGAGTTTCCCTTTTTCTTTGTTAACCGTTTCACATCATGACTTAACAGTTTCAGCCGATTATAGAACAATATCAGTCTTTACACATTATAACAATTGAACAGTTTTAAAGTTTATCTTTCTTTCCCTCTTATATTGCAGTCCCTCACTCACTTTTTTTTATTCAGTGTGATAATTGAGCTCGAGCTTGTCCTGCCAGGAGTTTGTAAATCTGGGCTGAAATGGTGTCAGGCCCATTCTCATACACACATGCAGGTGCTCATTGGTTAGCCTCGGTTAGCCTGCGCTGGAACGATATTTATTTTCTGTGACCTCAGTTCTGACTTGAGAGGGAATGTTTGGTCAAACACTTTGTGTTTTGTCTCATAGTGGCGTTTTGGCACTTTTAATGAGCGCCACGGTCTCTGAACAAATGAGACACACTGGTTCTGTGCTCCCAGTGGGCAGGATGAACACAAATGAGTCCACTCAGGGTTAAAAGCTCTGTTCTCACTGTCCACTTTCCTCTTCTTGGAGAGCGCCATGTGTAATTATTTGTCTCTCCCTGTCTGCCGCTAACACGCCTGTTCACTGTCCTCTCCGCTTCTCTCCCTGGGCCCTTCTCAGGTCGATTAAATTAAATCCTTGCGTCCCTCACTTGCGTCGTTTCCCCTGCGACTAGACCCTCCCACCAGGGAAGCATGGAGAGACACAAGGGCCCCGTCTCAGGTCGACTATTTTCATTTCCTCGCTCCTCGCTCCTCGCTCCTCGGCCTGATAGATACACTAGATGGCTCAAGGGGGAGTCGCCAGCGTAGCTCACTGGTGGCCATCTTGCCACAGTCAACAACTACTGCTACAGCTGTTGTAAGGTGAGTGATCTGCACAAAAATACTCTTAACTCGCTGAATTCTTGACTGATTAACAAACGGTTTAGTTTATTATAAACGTTATTAGCATGGCTATGATACAGGAGACAACAAGACGTGTTGAAAAAAGAAAGTTCATGACTATAATTATAAGTATGCTGTTTCATAACTTCATTTTTGATGTTTATAACAAACCAAACCGTTTGAAAATTGGTTGAAAATTGAGCAATCTACGGTTATTTCAATCGTGCACCATAGACATAATGTTATGAATGAGCGAGCTGCCTGTGGCAAGATGGCCGCCATGTGGCAACGTTGGTCTCCAAAGAGAACCACAGTGACACGTCCTAAAACCCGGATGTAAACTCCTTCCGGTTCCTTCGTCAAAAACGCAATGCAATTTCTCCATAGGATTTTGGAAAATAGCTCGAAATAAGGTCTGTGGTTGACACACATTTAAGAGACGGATCACGTTTTGTTCAGCCGGATAATATCCACATGTCTATCCTACTTTTATAATTTTCGAATCATAAATCTAGTCGCCAGAAGCAAAATGCTAACGTTATGCTATAAAGGAACTACAGCAGGGTGGCTGCTTCAACGTCACGCCAACTTAAGATCCATATTCAAACATACAGATTGTAAATGGTACAAGTTGAAGTGTTTGTTTGAACAGTTTGCAGGAGGCAGGTACTTGCTTTCAAGCAGAACAGGGCAAACTAACTTAGCGGGAGTGTTTTACGTGTTCGGTGTAATGACGTAAAACGGCCTGGACAACTTCTGTAGTCCTATTCAGCCACTTGTTAACAACCATTGTTTTTCAGACACGTAAACTCTTCAAAAATCACCAGCGGGGTCACTGCTGATGTATTTAATGTCGTAGAACAAAACGTGATCTGTCTCTTCAATTTGTGTCAAACACAGACCTTATTTGGAGCTATTTTCCAAAATCCTATGGAGAAATTGCATCGCTTTTTATCGAAGGAACCGGACGTGGTAAAAATGCTAACTTACTTCCGGGTTTTAGGACGCGTCATTGCGGTTCTCTATTGGCCAGCAGCGCGGCATCTAGTCATCTAGTGTTTATATATATCTATGCTCGGTCTCACCGGAAGTTGATTTGTCTGCGCCATCTTGAGTACCGTTGTCGGCATAGATATATATAAACACTAGATGGCTGAAGGGGGAGTCACCAGCGTAGCTCACCGGCGGCTATCTTGCTTGCACAAAAATACTCTTAACTCGCTGAAATCTTGACTGATTTACAAACGGTTTGGTTTATTATAAACGTTATTATCATGGCTATGATACAGGAGACAACAAGACATGTTGAAAAAGTTCATGATTATAATTATAAGTATGCAGTATCATAACTACATCTTTGATGTTTATAACAAACAAAACCGTTTGAAAATTGGTTGAAAATTGAGTAATCTACGGTTATTTCAATAGTGCACCATAGACATAATGTTATGAGTGAGCGAGCTGCCTGTGGCAAGATGGCCGCCATGTGGCAACGTCGGCCTCCATTGGCCAGCAGCGCGGGTGAGTCATCTAGTGTTTATATATATCTATGGTTGTCGGTACCACAGATCGGTACCATATCTGCTCGGGGTACCATTGTCACTACCCGATCTGTCCCCCTGCCCGATCGGTACTGCGCATGTGCGAGATGGTCCGCCATATTGGACAACTCCGGACGGCAACCCAAGATGGACACTTGACACAGTGGCTTTTAGCAAAGCTCAAAAAGAAAACTCGAGAGAGATGAGTTATTGTTATTACAACGTGACTTCATTATAATTTAACAACTCTTTTTATTGGGTTCTTTTATTTGGGGTTAGGTACATTGTCAGAATAAGTGAGAAATTGATTTAACTTCTGTTAGACAGCTATCATACTGAATAAATATTTACTGTGAATGTATGCAAAAATGTATGGCATATGGCTGTCTAACAGAAGTGAAATTGAAATTAAGTTGAAAAAAGGACTTGGATGGCGGAGTGAGAAGCAGCAACGTTGCAGGCTCGTAGAAAAAGTTTAGATTTGAGTCCTTGACTGCAAAACCGACAGGCAATAGCTTATTCATGATACACTTTAAGTTATTATAGAAGCTTAAATAGTCACATTTTACTTTAACTCTTCAGCTACCAACACTTTTGACATAAAGTGCCTGCTAGCATGACCGACCACGATTACAACTTAAAAGTTCTCCGTGAGGCGTGTGACGACTCGGATATTGAGGACATGGAAGCGGACAACTCTAAGGGACACAAAATAAATTGGGACCACACACCAACTAAAGGACCGAATCCAAAGAAATCAAAGGTTCATGGCGAAACACAAATGGCAGAGGATAGCAGCAGCACCATTCTCCAGGCAATACAAGTCTTATCTGGAAAAATGTATGAACAGACAGAGCTGTTAAAAAAGTTTGAAAAACGCATTGAAGCAAACACTGAAGCAGCTAAAGAAAATAAGAAAGACATTTCTGCTCTTCAGAAAAAGTTTGATGATCTTCTGAAAGATAACACTTTACTTTTGCGCTGATTGACAACAAAAGAGTGGACCCGGAATAACGTGAAAAACACCGCAGTAATTAACTGGAGGGACAGGGAGCAGGTTTTCGGTCCTCAGTAGGTATGCTGAAGTTCTCAGTTTGAGTGTTTTTTTTTTAGGATTGGACTTGTCTCAGGTTATATTCAAAATGTTGTGAGCCATTGCACTAAATATGTTTGTTAAGGGCTACGTTACTCACTCCTGCGCATCGATATAGCATTCCTTTGCGCATTTTCTTAAGGTTTCTATCTTTGCTCTTTCAATGTTATCGTTCATATCCTTAAATGCTAGGGGGCTAAAAAACAATGTGAAACGTAAGGCAATTTTTCTTCTTTGTAAGGAACAAAAGGCAAATTGTGTTTTTCTGCAAGAAACTCATTCTGCAGAGGCAGATACTAAGTTCTGGAAAGTACAATGGGGAGACAAAAAACATTTCAGCCATGGAACATCACATTCGGCTGGAGTGATGATTTTATTTAACAGGTTACCTGGAAATATAATTGACCACAGGAGTGATACAAACGGTAATTGGCTAATGGTGGTGACTGATGTTAATGGGACTAATTACATACTGGTGTGTGTTTATGGATATAACAGAAAGATTAAAAACAATAATTTTCTTTCAATCTTGTGCCAAAAATTAGAGGAATGGAAAGTACTTTATATGACTGATAAGATTATAATCGGAGGGGATTTTAATGTAGTTCCTGATGAGTGGTTAGATCGTCTTCCTTTAAGGGGTCATTGTCATAATTTTAATGATTCTATTATTCATTTAGCCTCTAAACTTAATTTAACTG